GCTGCGGATCCCCAAAATTCGACATGCTATGGGTACTGAGCACCGCCGTTCCTCTGCTCATCTGCGTTCTCTCAGCGAGATAGTGTTGGGCGAGTGGAACCAGCTCCAATGGTAGTGCAGACGGACAAAGAGGGAACGGTTCAGCTTCGCCTACCAATCCGTAGCTCAGTTGCATCGGTTTCAGAGAAATTTTTTTGCCTTATTTCATTGCACCAGAGTCAATTCATGGTGGAGCTCCGATTTCGAAGTAGCTGACACTGAAAAACAGAGGACAGAGCAGTTTGGCTTGGGAGGGGCTTTTGGCACTTCCGCCAGTTTCACTCGCGTCAAGTGTGAACGAAGCTCCTGTTATTGTATAGCATCACAGAATTTACAGACCTCTACAAAAGACATCGGCAGTAATCAGTGGGAGTCAACAAAATGTTCCCCCTAAACCGAACTGCACTCGAAAGAATTATGTAGTGCTCACCTCCTTGGAATCACTCCATAATCAGCAGTGCACGAATATCCATGGGTAGGGGATCCTTTAGGAACGAGTAATGAGCCGTTTCCTGCCACTTGGTACGAATCAGCTGATGAGAAGTCGAGATCGATATTGCTGAAGTAGCATTAAGGTAGAACAATCCAAAGGATCAACTGATGCTCAGCGCTCACAGATGTGTGACATTAGGTCAGGAATTAGTCGAAAACAACCCACTTATATAACCAGTGTACTTCACCACCTCCGGTGGCCGTGCAATCGAGAATGCTGTTGAATTCCTTTTCCAGAATTGTAGGTTCAGAACAAGGTACGTCAGCAGCTTTGACCTAAAGTTGCGTGTTGAACTATGGCAAATTGAGCACAAATCCGAGCTCAGTGTGTGGATCTTGCTTTGGTGGCGTTAAAGCACTTTAGCCGCGTCGTTGTGATCCAGACTTTTCCATGACTAGACTCCAATATGAGAATCCTGGAATAATTTTTCATGAATCGCTAAAGTTCAAAAATTTTTCCCCCCCCCCCCGCCCCCCCCCCCCCCCCCCCCCCCCCCCCCCCCCCCCCCCCCTAGGAATTAGCCGGAAGAGTGAAATTATATTTTATAAATATCGGCGCAGTTCCGCTTGGAGGGGGCAGCAAATGGTACAAGGCAAAGCTAGTTTAAGCAAACTTGTTCAGGACTTGCCAATTTTCCGTACCAAGTGGCTAAATATGTACACACTTCCCAGCTTCACAGAAGATTTCCAAGGTCATAAAAACGTAATTAACATAATCAGCAAAGGGAAGTGGCAGAAAGGCAAAATTGCCCCTCCCAAAGCACGACAATGACCCAGATATATAATTTTAATGTTATGTCGCAAAACTTGATAGTAATAAAAATTTTTGATCAGAAGAGACTTTGCTGCTAACTGCAGTCGCTTCACGATTTCTGTGAAGTTTCAAAGTGGGCCAGGTTGGTTCTTTGGCGAATGTCATCTGTTGGAGGCTTTTGGAGCCGATCTGTGCAGCCAATCAAGATTGAATCAAGCTTGGCAGATAGGAAATGCTAATAAATCAAGGCATGAAAGGGGTTTCGTCGAAATAAATGGAAACTAGCGTCGCAGTTGGGGCGCAGTTGGCAGAAACTCGCAGTTGGCGGCGCGGTTAGGGCAAGAACTACTCCAAGAAAAGCGTCGTGAAAAAAAACTAGGCTTATATCCCTTTATTGAACTCAATACCCACCCACCTGAACGTCGACGTTTTCGATTTCGTTGTGCCGAAGGTCAAGAGAAATGAGACGCGAGTTCTGTGCTGCTAAAGAGGGTATGAACCGTAATTTATTCCTAGCCAGGCTTATCCGGCGCAGAAGAGGAAGATAGTCGAGAACATTCTGGAAAAAATAAAGGATGCGTGAACAAAAAATAAAAGAAAAAAGGTAAATTCTTCTATTGTTCGCCCATCATAACCCCAGTTTTCAAAGTTTAAGCCTGGCATACGCCGCGTGTGGGGTCGTAGGATGTTCCGAGTGGGGTGGGGGATTGAGTATACCGAGCAATCACGTGGGACGTTGGTTAGAATGTGAATGCCATGGAGGCTCCAGAGAGCGGAGCTGCTAGCAGTGTAGCGTGCGCGACATTTGAACCAGGACCTCATTCAACTTATAAAAAGTGCTAGAGTGACCGCTCGGACCTCGACTCCGGAGTTAGGCTGCACTCCTTGCTTTCATCTTGACGAGTACGCTCAATGTCGGTCTCTCTCGCCTTTAGTCGCTTGCTATCCCTTGGTGTCGAGTAATGTAATGTACTCGTTGTCATTCTTGCACTTGACGGACGAGATTTATGCCGTTCTCCTACCCACCGCTCGGCGCAGTTCGGCGACAGAGCGGGGGAAGGGGGGAGGGGGGGCATCCCGCACTTCTGCTATTTCCCATTGACGTGCCGAACCGTCAAGTGGAGACTTATGAAATCTTGTGAAGCCATGAAATGGTACTAGTCAAAGTTTTACCCCTTGTAAAGCAATAAATTACCATACAAATGCCATTTCCCACGGTGTAGACAAGCTTTCTTCAGCTTCACAAGAGTTTACAGGTTTCACCACAGTAAGCGTGT